TATATATATATATATATATATGTGCTTTCTACATTTTGGTGACTCCACTTTTTTTTTGCTAAATATGGAAAAAGATATTGCGTTTTCCTCATGTATACGGAAATTTTTGATATATGACATAATTTTTAACCGATAAAGACATTTTTCATTTTGGTGACTTATATACATTCTTATATATAAATTGTATATAAGTCACCAAAATGAAAAAAGCTTTTATCTATTAGAAATTATATTATATATCAAAAATTTTCATATACATGAGGAAAACGCAATATATTTTTCGATATTTAGCAAAAAAAAAAAATAAAGTCACCAAAATGTAGAAATTGTATGTATACAACATATACAGTTTATATACAACATAAACAGTTTTCTATGCAAAAAATATAATTATTTTTCAACGGAGGCGGGCAATAGCCTAGTCGGCTGATAATTATATAAATTTTCGAGAGGCTGGTAATAGCTTGGTCGGCTCGGTACCCTCTTTTTAAAAGAGTGGGATCCGGGTTTCGATCCCAGCACGCACCACTATTTTTCATTGATTATAATTAAAAAATATGTCCGTTACATTGACAGCCTCTGCAAGTGGCAAAGATAGCCGGACGGCACACGTTTGACTTGGGTGATCACCCAGTTAAGCTACAACTTAACTGGGTGACCACTCTAGTCAGCGTTGGCTAGCCCGAGGGATCTCTGCACACTAGGAGAAGGGCCTTTTGCTCCAGTAGTCGATAAAGAAGAGTTTCTTATCAATCACTGTAGACTTAGCCCAGCTCCAACTGTACTGGGTTTTTTCTGTGGTTTCCCCATGGTTCTGTTCCAACAGCCTGAGAGGTGAGGTTCAGGGTGAATACGATACAGGAATCACAAGTCGGTCCACAGCCACAAAAATTAAAAGTAAAAATGAAGTGTCGGACGGGACTTGCTGAGGTCCAATACGAGGAATAGAGAAAGCGTAGAGCTAGGAGATAAAAGAGGAATCAGCCTTGTAAAAACCGAGAGGTGTACAAGTAAAGCACAACTATAATAATAGTAATTTTTCAACATAAAATATAAATAAACTATACTTCAATGAATAAAGGCTTATTGCAGTATTTGGCAACCACTATCACAGCACCTTTTTTGTTTAAAACATTAAAAAGAATAAATGCAAAAAATAAATCTTTAATTTTTATTTTTTTTTTTCATAAATTTTTATTTAGTTCAGTAGCACATAGTTTAGTAATATTTCGTTAAGTAGTACAAATTTTGATTGTTGAATTAAAAAAATTATTTTGATTTTATCAATAATTATATCAATATCATTTAACCGATAAAATTTTCATGAAGAAAATTGAGCATCTTATAGCAATATCTAATATTTACTTTTAGACATATTTCGAAATCTTGATAAAAACTATGGCGTTCTACTTTCACTCAAGTTAGCAAATATTGGCGTGAAATACAAAAATATATTATTTTTAAATATAATGATATCGTCCAGATAGGAATGCGTAAGTATTTCCTATCGAATTTTTTTGAATAACGAAGAAATTATCGTTAAATAGATAATATAATATAAGGATCTCTTAACTTAAAGATCAACTTTAAAAGTTAAAATATAAATTGCACGTTGAATTGCAAGTTCAAAATGTGAATTTAAAAAAAGTATATAACAGCATAAGAGTTATAAACCTTTAACATTCACTTAAAAAAATAAGTAATAGAGAAAAATGAGTAATATTTGTAGTAAAATATAAATTAAACTATTATAAACTTCTAAGTTTATAATAGCTATTAAGCTATTATAAATAGCTAAATAGCTCAATTGCTAGCAGCAATCTTATTATTTCATTTTAAAGAATATCAGGACTAATGTCCCATTTTCTTTTTTTCTAATTTATCTTTATATTGATTGTTGATCCATGAGCGCAGTTGAGGTACAGATCTTTTAACAATTGGATTATCTTCTAAAAACTTTGTCATGACTTCTGCAGATGGAGTTTTCATAAGTTTAATTGAATAGCCAAATGTTTTTAGAACAATCGTCTTCTCCTCGCTTGACCATGTTCTTTTTGTATTTATTCGCCTGGGTTCTGCTAGAAAATGTCAAAAATAGTTCCGAAATTTGTGTTAAAAAATTAATTTACTCATTTATCCAAGACAAGTAAAAAAATCTTACCGGTTAATGCATCATCATAAGGCTTTGTTTTTGAAATCTTTGGATTTTTATCAGACCTTGAAGTTACGTCGTCAAACTCTTCATCTGAAGATGCAATATCATCTAACTTGCGTTTTTTTGTTAAAAACTTTTTCATATGAGCCGTAACAGTAGAATTGTCTTGATCGGAATTAGAATTTGATTCTTCGGTACTTTGGTCCATATCTAGAGAGACATCCATGGCTGAACTGTCATCGTCACTAGCTGTTAAATATAAAGTTTAGTCAATAGAAGTTTTTAATTTTAGAATTAATGTGTATCATGCAAATCGATGTAAAATAAATATATACATTTATTGATCGATATTTATTGTGCACACAGAAAGAAAGGTTCACTTGAACCAAGAAAATATTTTTCTTCCGAATTATTTTCTTGGGCGAAAAAAATTTTTTTTTTACTCGAGAAATTTCACTTATTCCAACAAAATTAATTCCTTGATTTAAGGAGTACGTATCTTGATCCAGGACAATTTATTTAAATCAAAAAAATTTTCTTGTTTTGAGAAAATTTCTCTTTTGTTCCAAAAAGTTAAGTTCTTGACAGAAGTAAATTTTCTTGTCTTGAGAAAATTTCTCTCTTACTCCAAAAAATTAAATATCTCGATGTAAATTTTTATTAACTAACATGTCAAATGGGAAGATCAAGTAATATTGAATCAATTTTTTTCATTTAACATGCATAATTGCGCGCTAAAATAATCTAAAATGGGTATCAAATATTCAAGAAAAAAATTTTTCAAGGTGAAAAATTTTTTTCTCAGCTGAAGGAGGTGGCGCTGCTTCCCCAAAGTATCTAAAAATCTTGATCAAATATAAAAAATTATTGTATCAAGTATTTATGATAATTTGAATGAAGAAAAAATTACATCCGCCAAGAATAAATTTTCAAGAAAATTTTTACTTCGGCCAAGACAACTTCGGTCTTCCTTCGGGCACCCGAAAATTTACTTGAGCCAAGAATTTTGTTCTCGAGTCAAGAAATCTTTCTTTCTGTGTATTAGCGCATATCAATTGAAATAATAAAAGTTGAAACATACCATCAGATTGCTTCTGGGACGTAGACGAAGATGCAGAACGGTCTTGATCACGTCGCATGACTCTTTTAACACCGGATGCTACTTCTAGAATTCGGGAAACACCACAGACGTCCCGAGTTACTACAGCTTGTCTGTAGTGATCCCGATGTATCTTCTCAGCGTGTCCCATGAAATTTGATACATCGTAAATTTGACATTCGTCAATTTTTAACGATGCAACTGTAGTTGCAAAATGTTTACGAAGACCTGTTGCTCGTATCCGTTTCGGATACTGTGCACCACATCTTTTACTGTAATTCCTCATTAAAGCACATGCTTTTAAATGTTTGTAACGCGTACCGTCAAATCCTGGTAACGCAAAAATGAACGGGTTATCAGGGTGTATTTTAGCTGCACTACGATGAGTAAGAATTAAATCTATGAAACCACGCATATTGCTTGATAAAAGTAGTGGCACCTCTCGGCCTTTCTTGCCACCAAACTCAATGCGTAAGTACTCATCAACTAATTTTTTATCCATGCTTGACAATCGGTCATATTCGTCTTTATTTGTTTTCTCAAAGGTCTCGGCTCTTTTATAGTCATCGATAAGAATTCTCTGTAACTCACCTGGTCGTTTGCGATTAAATAATAATATAAATATCAGTGTACATTGAGCTAGCTTTTTCCAAGCATGATCCGTATAACCTTTAACCAACGACTCGATTGCTAAAGCAAGATTTTTTTCAACATAATCTCGAAAGAGATTTATGTCATCCATAGTCGGGAGGGGTTTCTGATTGTGTCTTCTTTGTTGTATTTGTACGCTTCTGGCAAGATTATTGATTCGCGTGGAAAACTCAACTTCGTGGACTTTAAGGAAATACTCTACATGTTTAGCTTTGTCAAACTCTAAACTTTTTATCAACTCTTTCTGATAAACTTTAGCTACTTTCGTAATCCATGTACCAGCTGCAGTAGCCGACGATGGAGCTCTGCATTCACTTTTTTCAATATTCATGCCATTTATGTTTTGGATAGCGACAATCATATTATCATAAAGCCTTGGGTCAATAATATCCGCAAATTTGTTCACATTTACAGGATTAGGCTTTTGATTAATCATACCACCTTCGAATACAGCTTCATTGTACTCCATCACTTTCAACAATATACCTCCCAACATTCTCAAACGAGAGCGAATCATTTTATGCTGATGTTGGTTGGTATATCGCTCTGTCAAGTCGTTAGCAAAGACTATTAGTAAAGGGTCGTACCGTACAGCTTCAGAAATTTCATCATCGTTCAAAATCGCAAGAATTTTTCTTGTTAATTCATTAGCATTTTCATGTATTTGACCCATCATGATTTTTGATTTAACTAAGTGTGAGCGATCGTCGCAGTGATCTCGTTCGTAAGGACATTGGTGACGTTTTACATTAAGTAACCATTTGCCACATTTAGAACAAGGCTTATAATCACCAGCATTTGCCACTGAATTTTGACGAGGTTGCCTACAGACGAGAAGTTTTCCTTTGTTAAAGTCTCTGTTGAGATTGTAAATATTATTTCCTCGGAGTCTTAATTTTTCAATTGCTGCTTTTCTTTCTACTGAATCTGTAAAAACAGTTCTGGTTAATACACTTATTTACACATACCAGAAATTATAATTTTGGCTTTATCAAACAACATGAATGCTTTGAAAATTTAAATTAATTTTTACGGACTCAGATAACTAAAATACAAGTAGGTGCTAAATACTACCATCAAGTGTTTATATGTCACACATGAAATTTGTTTTGTACAGTATTAGAAGGTTTTAAAATTTAACAATTCTAACATTTTAATGACCAATGCAAAATTATTTCGATATTTCCAAATAATTTTCGTTAATACCTTTATTTACTCAAGTACAATGGATTAACAGAATTATTGAACTATTTATGATATAAACCGAACATATTTTCTAATGAAGGAGTTTTTTTTGAGCAAGTTGCTTATTTTGTAAAATAATATCTTAAATACTCTCAGTAATCTTAAAATTTTTACAGTGAAACAAAATTTATCTTTTTTTTCGATTTCAATTTATTTTAAATACTAGAAGATATTCAAACCTCTTAATTAAAAAAAAATTTGTTTTATCATTGATGATACAAATGCGTTTGCAACGAAAATTTTAATTTTTTAATAATCTGTTATTCTTTTTGTATAAGTCTTATATGGATGATTCTCTGTAAGGATGTTTTTTGCTGTCCCAGGCATTTTTTTTATTAGAAAAATTGTTATTTTGTCACTAAAAAAAATTTATTACGAAAGTAAAAAAACATTTCTATTTGGAGCATTGAAAACTAAAATGGAATAAATTTAGGTTTTTTTGCTATAAATTCGTAAACCACCGAAATGTCAGTCCCCTGGGCTGTCCCAGTCCCAAAATTAAAAATTTAAAATTAAATTTTAAGTTATTCGTCAATAATATATAATTTGGTCCATAATATTTATAAACTTAATTAGTTCACTAACAATCTTCTTTCATAAAAAATACCGAAAGTTAATTTGTTCCATTAAATTTATTAAACCGAAGTTTGTCCCAGGCACTTTAAGATCAGTTCCTTGCCAGAAGTTCAAAGCCAAAAAAAAAATCCAGCTTGTTATTTTAACTTTTGTAAGGTTTATAAGGATCTAACTAGCCTTAAGTTAATAACCATAGGGCTGTTAGCGCTTTATCGCCATTTTATTTAGTGTCAAAGCATCGTTTGTGCTGGAAATATGTGTCTGGGCCACTTCAAAACTCAGTCCCCTGATAGCTATTCTTGTTTATAATTTATTTATAAAATTGGATCCATAAGTCTTAATATTATTCTAATTAATGTAAACATTCATTGATAACTTAAAAAGTTGAATGCATTGAAATAGTTTGCTTGATTTTTCTTAATTTGCTCAAAAAAATCAGTCCCCTGTCATATTATATGGCAGAAGATACACAAATATCGAAAAAGCAAAAATTAATTCAGCTGTTTATTTATTATAATAAAGCTGATAGTTTTGTAGCCCTTGTTAATTTTTTTTCTAATAAAATCAAAAATAATTTGGTCGGACAATTTTGTACAGATTTAAGACGTCCTTACAGAGAATCGCCCATGTACAATAACAAATGCTTAAAAAATAAGTAGAATTTCAAAAAGCACAATTATCTTTAAGATTCTAGAGAAGTACATATAAATTAACTTACTGTTTTTCATTGCGAGAAATTGCTTAACTTCTTTTTCGTTGCTATGAACGTCTCTATAATGTCGACTTGGAACTGCTTTTAACTGCAGACAGAAACAGCAGAAAGTTTTTTTAGTTTCCTTTCCTGTTTCTGTTACTTCTAACTCATTAAGATTGGGTGCTACTGCTTTAGACATAAGTTCGTCAACAGAATTATTCCCATTATTAACCGAGTCAATGTTTGCAATTTCTTCTGAAAGTGAGTTAGATAGGTTAGATTCATTCAAGTATGATTCTGAGTCCGGCACGAATGTGGAGTCATTTTTCGATTGATCAAGAGTAGACATACTTGAACCTAAAAATACATGAAAATTAAAAAAAAATCTTAGCTTTTATTATTTATTAGATATAATTTTTCAAGAGTATGAATCATTGCTATGCAACTTTAATTTTTATGAACACTTAACATAGATTTACGGAATTTGAAGTTCAAACTATGAAATTTTGTATGACATATTACTAAAAAATACTTTATGATTGTAAAAAGAGTATCTATAATTGTTATAAAATTACAATTTGAATCTGTATTTGACACAAAATATGGACAAATATATTAAGACAATAAAAAAACGAGGCAATTCGAAATTGAATTATAAGTAATTACGTTGCCAACTTACGGGAGTTATCGAATAATAATGGCTCTGAAACTTGTTCATCATCAAGAACTTCATTCTGTTTAGCATTTAAGTCTATATCCAAATCATTGACTCGACTCTCTTGCAATTGCATGGATGACAGATCAAAATTCCAATCTGCTGATGTATTAAAATCGTCCCTCACAATGCTGTCTTTTCTTAAATCTTCAGGCTCCTCAAAATCATCTAAATCATCTAATTCTTCAAGCTCACTAATATGAGAGTCACTGTATTCAGAATCATAATCTAAGTCTTCACTGTCACCGACTTCATAATTTGGGTCATTAGGGTCTTCGTCTGATTGATTGGGACATTGATCATACTTGAAAGAAAAATTTTTGACCGAGTTATTTGATGTTAACGTTTCATCGTCCCGCTTAGTTATAGATGAAACTGTTTTATCTTGAAATCCGTTTATTTCAGAATCTTTGTTATCAGAAGCGAAACAATCATTATTTTCACCTAATGTGGCTGAAGATGGCAATGACTGGTATTCAAATGATGGGTAGAGAGCTATACTTTCTTCATTTTCAAGTTCTAACGGACCGTTCATTATAATAATAGGGATTTCATCAATTGTTTCCCAATTTAACGGCTCAGTACTTTTCGTGATAAAACCATTATTAATTGGCAAAAAATTCCCTTCAACAACTGATCTCACAAGCGGTTTCCTAGCTTCTGTAGCTTTAATTATACTTTTATTCAGAGTTTCACTGTCTGGAGATACATTGCATGTTGGTTCTAGATTTTGCTCATCATTTAAACCAGTCATATTCACTTGATCTTTATTATTTTCATTTACGTTTAAGAACCTTACCTCTTTTTTTTTTTCATTTATTTTTAGATCCGTAAAATCAATCAAATTTTTAACTTTAGTATGAGATTCTGTAGAGAGTATTTTTAAATTTGAATTGATATCATTACAATTATCATTTTTATAATGATCGTTCATTGATTTATTAATCAACAAAACGTTCTTTGAAGTATTAATATTACAAATACTAAACTTATCGATATCTTCGTAAAATTTTTGTTCTAAGTGAGATGACGAACTATCTGTTCCGTTAGAAATCAAATTTAACTCTGAACTATCCTCAGTTTTACAAGTTTCATCTTGAATAATATCTTGATCAGTTAATGAAATTCTTGAAACTGTAGAATTTTTTATTTGAGTTAAATCAGAAACAGCATCAGATAAAACTGCGGCTTTTGAAGAAGTTGATGTACTTTTTTCTCTTATTCGTGGAATATAAACTTTAGGTAATTTGTACGATAGGTTTTGAGCTAATTTTAGCAAATCTTTTCTTTTACCTAAGAAATAAAAAGAAATTAGTTAGATTTTCAGAAAATCATTAAAAAAGTTATTAATCCATTTATTATAAAACTTCAGAAATTTAGCATCAATTAAATGAATATTTATGCAACAAATATAACGTTAATTACTGTCAACAGATAATGCGCTACTAAATAAATTCTATCAGTGTTAGCTAAATGCTTCAAAAAATAATGGATATCTATTACATAAATATTCATTATCATTAAATGCTCGCAGTTATTTACATTTATGATAAATAATAATTATGATCATCAAAATAATAATTATAATAATAATCATAATAATAATAATAATTACCATATCGAAAAATAGTCATGACTTGGAATTCATAACCTTTATATATAACAAACAATAGGTTTTTTTGACGTCTGACATTTCTGTGCGATGTCACCAAATATTTGTCTTCTTTTGTTGCAACTAAACAATACATTTTTTTCTAATTTGAGTTACATATCTTGATAATATAAAAACGTAAAAAATATTTAAATAATGCGATTATTTGAAGCTTTTTATAAAACAAACACAGCGAATCAGAACAATCTTTCAGCAAAATAGGAGATATTAATCATATAATTATAATAAATGATTCTTAATTGTGTCCAGAGAAACTGATAAGTTGTACTGGATGTAATGAAAAAGCGTGAATTAAATATGATTGCTTTGATATCGATCTTATACGTATCTTGCTTAACAAAGGTCGGAATGGATCTTATAAAATTAACCGTACATTATCAACATGGCAATTCTCAACTCTTAGAATAGAAAAAGATGGTTGATTTAATTCACCGTCTTGGCCACCATGTGTCACTTGTGTTGCGTCAACATGTTGAAAATAATTATTATTGTTAGTAATTTTTAGAAATTTTTAGAAATTTTTTGTTAATACTAAAATTACTATTTTAAATATATACAACCAAAAAGTTGAACTTGTAATTGTATATAAATATTGATTTAGCTTATTAAAATAAAATATTATTCCACGCATAAACAACAAAGGTGGCGTGACAGTCTTATTTTCTGTCAAAATTGCATAGCTTTAAAAAAAATGTTTAAAAATTTTTAAATGTTTTTAAAATTAGAATAATTTATTTAATACTTCAATACATTTATAAAAAATATAGGAATAAGGAAATTCTTAAAAAAAAAAACTGAAAAGACTGTTAAACTTGTAGGTTGAAATGAAAAATACAAAATAGAGATAATACTGAATTTAGCTGTCAGCAGTGAATTTTGAAATTTTTTTTAACAAATCAATCTCAATAAAAAAATGCTTTCAAATATTTTCACTTTCAATTTTTATCAATTTTCACATGTGGAACTTTTAAATTAATTTTTTTTTTTATAATAATTAAATTGCTATAAAATTTTTAATGTCTTTCAACTTCAGTGTCATAAATAGAGGATATATTTTTCTGTGCAAATTCTCAGCAGTTGATGCAATAATAAATTATGTTCTTTATTTTTATTATCTCATAAGGGAATTCAGTAAATATCAAATTGAAGATCTTCATTCGGACTATAAAGAGAGCAACTTTTTGTTGACAACCACACATTCTTTGAGGTTATCCTAAAATATACGATACTTAGAAACCTGTCCTCAAACTATCTTTTCATAAATAAATATGGAATGAGAATTTTATTTTAAGAGAATAATAATGTAAAATAAATTAAATAAAATTCTACATGCTAATATAAAATAAAATTAAAATAAAGATAAATACAATCAGTAGTTTTTATTAGACTCGTATCATTTTATACATACGAATAATAATAGGGTATAACAAAATATAGCGATTTTTATTTCTTTAATAACACAAAAAGTATCGTTCAAGATGACGAAAAAAGATTCTGTATTCTGTAATAATTTTAATATTAGGAGTTCAAACTTCCACTGAGTTTATTTTATATACCCTAATATATACACATAATAATAATAAATTTAGTGCATTTATATTTGATAGCAAATATTCCGGGAATTTACGTAAAAGAAAAGCGTACACGAAAGTTCGTCCTATAATCTATGATACTTTGAGGTCCGCCCTCGAATAATGTTCTGATGAAGAAAGTATTGCAACGTCATAATGTTCGCAGTATGGTTAGAAAATGATATGAAATTTGCAATAAATAGTGAAATCTAAGTACTCCTAAAAAGTCAATATTAAATTTGATTATGAAAATAGAGTAAAATGATCGACAGAATTTTGATAAGTATTAATTTCGAGATAAATAATTAAAACACCTTTCGGACATTAAAAATGATCTCAATAATTTTAAATTCGATTAATATTAAGTTTAATTATCCATAACAATATTGTGAAAATGTTCAAATCTAAAACTTGAACACTAGTCAGCGAGAAAAAATTAATACTCAATTAACTGTTACTCATAGAAAATGAAATCAAATTTTCTAAACATGAATTTTGATTAAGAATTTATAAATTTAGGGAATTTTACTGTTCTGATTAGATGTTTTTTGTAGTTAATTACAACATTTGATTGAAATTATTTATGATGCATGAAAATGTTCAATAATCAGAATTCTTTTTTTTACACATTTGCTGATCTGAGTTAAAAAATATTGTCTTTAAATTTTGATAATAGGGGTAATAAAAAACATGTTTATTGTTATTTAGTTTAACAAATTTAATTTTTTTAAGAACTCGAGTGTGCTATTTTGAGACGAGAATTTTATATAATTTTTTAACCTTACAGAAAAATTGAATTGAAAACCTGCATTGTAAGGTGTGCAAAGTATAATAAATTATATCCTCAAAGTATAGACTTATTAAAGGTATCTTCTGAATGGGTGATTTAAATTTTGTTTAATGAATTTTAGATTGTCTGTAGAAAAATAAAAATTGTTTGAATCTGGCAGTGGTGTAGTAAGCTATTAAAAAAATATGAACCAGGAACTAAATTTTTAACATTTTTTTCTTCTTTAAATTCTTAGTCATTTTGGAGTTCTTATAGTAGAAAAAATGATCAAATTACGTTACTAACTAATACAAGAATATTTTACGAATATCTCAATTAAAATAAATTTTTTGAGCAATATGAACCTACAATATTAATTCAAAATTTAAGATAGTGTAAATCCTAATTATTTTATAATAACAATCACTGCTATTAATATTAGCATATAAATCATAGGCCTTAACGTTTTTTTAAAGTGCCAAATACATCTTTTTTAGGAACTTTTCCGCATTTCTTTTCATGCATTCGTATAGAAAGCTTGGAAAAAAACGCTTTACAACGAGGACACGATGTAAAATGGTCAGCATTACGATTATAGCCAGGCTGAGATCTCCGGCTCGTTATTAACACCCCAGTGTTTAAACTCTTACGAGTATTATGTAAGAATGTACCTTGATTACGAATTTCACGAATTAATTTTAAACGTTTCGCACTTTTTAAAGGTAACTTCATTAGTTTTTGAACTTTAAGGATTTCTGAATGAGAATGTTGTAAATGTCTAGCGAACTTTGTTACCATACATTTACAATATGGACAGAAATATTGTTTGGATCGTATTTCTGTTTTTTTTAAAGTGTTTACTTGAACATTTGACTGAGATATTTTTAAATTATTAACGTCATCAAGATCCATTTTTTCTAACGAATCATCTGTTGAATCAATATTTGGAATATTTTTCGTTTTTCCAACAGTTTTCAATTTTGAACCTCCTCCAGCAGGATCCAAGTATTTTAACTTATTGATTGCTTGTGACTTATCATTATTAACTTTTGGCAGTAAATCTTTAGAATTATTCTGACTTTTAGAAGAAATTAGATTTTCATTATTATTTTCGTTTTTATTTATTTTTTTTTGGTTATTTGTATCGGTTAATGCTAAATTAAGTATACTTGAATTTCCGTTATCATTATTATTTAAATCTGAATCGTCCAATATTCTACAAACTTTTGTAATATCACGGGAATCAGTTGTTTTCTTGATTTCTATATTAATTTTGGCTGAAATTTCTTCAATTTTCTTACTACTATCGTCACTTGGAGTAGTCATATTCATAATTTCATTCAGATTACTATTTGATTCCGATGAGTTTAACCAATCATTACCAACTAAATTTGATAATCCGGATGGAAGACTTGGAACACTACTTTCAGATGAATGTTCATGACTCGTGAATTCGCCAGTGTTCTGAATGTCGGAAATTCGAATATTTAATGGAGCCAATTTCCTTAAATTCAGTGGTGTTGACGTATCGATGCCCTCAAAACCTGACATTTTTATCTGAAAAATTAATTGAGTATAGTTTTCACGTATTTGTAGAATGTTTATTTTGCCAAATTCATGCAGGTCGTCTGATACTCATCTTTCAATCAATTAAAAAAGTACTAAATATAACTTACCAGTTCTTATGTTTAAAAACCGATTTTTTTTCTCAACAAAACGTTAATGTTTATAAGCAACACATTACAATATGCTTTACTATCCAGTCGACTCAAGAAAATAATGAATGTTTTATAACATCAACAAAAGTATAAATAACTATAGTGTAAATAATTAAATTGATGAGACAGTTAATAATAAATATAAGTATACTTTGTAGGATGCAATAAATTAGTTAACCAAAAATGTTCTTTCATTCAACAGTAAATAACGTTTGTTACTACTATTAAATGATATGCGTATAAAAATAATACTGCCTTATGATTTTTATTTGCTATACATTATTTACTTCTGCATTGAAACTGGCCCTAAAGAATTTGATAGATTTCTGTCAAACATACAGTTTTCTCTGTTACTAATGTCAAAAAATTTCCTCAAACTACAATCCACAGATGGAGCTGGTGGAAATATCTATATGTTCAGAAAAATTTTTTATCTTTGCATGTAAATAAACATTATTTATCTCGTACTTTGTGATCTTTTTGTACTCAATAGTAGTTAATAAATATCAGTTGATAAATAATATTTAATGTATAAGAACAATCAAAGTAATTGACAGCAGTATTAATTGCTATATTTATGAAAAATAGTACAATATGTAGATCTTTAAAAAAAAAGTACTATGTGCATTGAAAAAAAAAAAAAAAAAATAGATACATTATTCAATTTAAAAATCAACAGTTACTTCGGATTTATTTAATATAATGTCGATTTAAAATTGTATTAAAAATTTTGATAGCATAAATTTTTTTGTACATAAATGTTATTCACTGCAGTAGTTCATCGATTTTGAGGTTACCAAGTTGAAATTTTGATGCTCCAAAATTTGCTTACATGAGCTATTCCAAGGAACAACTTTCTCATAAATATTGACAATACTGATTCTATCACTTCTTTAAATAATTAATATATATGACCAAGATCAAATGAAGCATTTGAAAAATATATGTGTATATAAAGCGACCATCGTCAGATAATTAATTAACATACAATAAGAGTCTGCAGTGACACCCATGATAC